AGCGTCCCTGCGGTGGGGTCCTGGGTGGTGGTTTTAGGCTAGAGCCGGGGAGTGCTGGGGGGCTGCCTCTTCCCATGAGCCCATCCCCGGGGTGCTCCTCCAGCCCTGCCCTGCACACCAGGGGTTCGGGGAGGGGATTTGGGGTGACCCGATGCCCAACACTTCTGATCTCTGCTGTTCCCTGGTTCTTCCCCCACCTCAAATCCCTTCTCTGTTTGAGCCTCCCCCACCTCCCCCCATCAATTGCCCTTTAACTGCAAAACTTGAGGCTTTTAGTGACTTTTAGCAAACCCCACTGCCTGGCCATCCACCACAGCGATTCCTCCCCGGGGTGTTTGACCCTGCCTGGCAAGCTCCGTCCACGATGACCCTGTCCCTTCATCCCCCAGGTCCCAGCGAGTGCATGGAGGGACACGGGTGCCCAGCATAGCAGGGAGCCCCCAGCACCCTGCCCCTGGGGCTATTTTGGGAGAGGAGAGGGTGTCCAGAGCCAGCACAGCAAGCAATAATCATCTCCTTTGCTCCCGCTCGCTCCTGGAGACAGAGCCGATCAGGGTTTGAATCAGACACTGTTTAATTTAAAGGCTTCTCAATAGGCACTGTTTTTTTCCAAAATAAGAGTTTTCCAATCACATTGTTTATTTTTTTTAAAAAATGTATTTTGTGGAAATTCTTCCTGTGGATGTTTTGTTTCTGTGTTTTGTGAACGGGTGTTGTCATACTGTCCAGCTCAAGAGAAATTCTGTTTACTGGAATAAACCTTCCTGACTTCACATCTCCGGTTTAAGGCTAAATCCTTCTGAAGCCTGAGGATGTGGGGGGGCTCGGGGGGCTCACCGTGCTGCAGAGACTGGGGGAAGAGGCAGGTAATGCTCCCAGTGGTGGTGGGGACACTGGGGCTGGTTTGGGTACCCTCTCAGCACTCAGTGGGGCCAGGCTGGGGTGGTCACGGAGGGACCGGCTGGTCCCAGTGCGGGTTAATGCCTCGAGGTGATTAAATGGCTCTAATCCCCCCGGGGAGGAGGGGGAGGTGTGATGTGAGGCTCTAATCTCTGTCTGCTGGGCTGGCTGGAGGGCAGCAGCTCTGCTAGGGGCAGCCCAAATCTGCCCCCAGTCCCTCTGGGTGTTTGGGGTGAGCCTGAGCCCCAGGGTTGCATCCTGGGCTGGGGGAAAGCGAGGGGGGGAATCAGTGGGGAGAGGATTGCTTGTCCCTCTAAGCTGATGGATCTCAGCCCTGTCTGGGGAGCGAAGCAGGGGAAAGCAGGGCAGAGAGGGGTCTTGGCATGGGGTTGGCAATGGTGCTGTGGCTGGAACGGGCTGGGGTCACAGCGTGGTGGGGCCAGGATGCCCCCAGGGCTCTGCCACCCTGCCCGCTTGCCAGGGCGATTTTTAAGCCCGTGCGGGGCAGCTTATACATGGCCAAGCTGAGCCCTGCTGCCACGGTGGGCAGGTGTGGGGGCACGCTGTGCCTGGGCAGCTCATCGGGGCTGGGCTGGTGGCACCACAGCTGCACTGGGGAGGGTGGGATGGTGGCTTCCTGGGGACAAGGCAGGGCTGCGCTCCCAGCAGCGGCCATGGTGTGCCGTGGACCCGCAGCCCCAGTCTCTGCCCGGCATCTTTGCTTCCTCCCCTTCTGCACGCTCTTGTCTCACGCTCCAAACCCCTGGCCGAGCCCCTCTACCCGAGCAGAAGAGCCATCGCAGAGCTCTGCAGCTCAGATGACAACCAAGTGACAATGTGCCACTGGATCTGCGGAGGGCATGCAGGCTGTCGCTCCCCTGGAAGCTGGGGAAGCCCACTTCAACCCGCCTTGTCCTCCCAAGTCCTGTCCTCTGCGGCGGTGCTGCTGGACAGAGGTGAGCCCCTGTCCCTTCGTGTCCCACCCTCACCCCCTTGGGGCCAGCAGGATGTCCCTGCCTGGGACAGGGTGCGATGATGACGGCTGGGGCCGGCCATG